ATTTTTTGGCAATTTATCAACGATGGGGTCAGGTCAGAGGAACTGCATTCTATAGGCTCTTGGGTACGTGACACGACACATCGGTCATTGGCATAATGAAGAAACTTGGCTAAAGGAAACTTGACAAAATAATTTAGCTTCAACTTTTTTTGCCACTGGTTTTATGAAAAGAGTGCGGCAAAGAAGAAACTAAGGTGGGCCACTAGAGGCAAAAGAAGACGCGGGACAGGGAAATTTGTGGAAAGTTGAGCAGCTGAAAATAAAGAGAAAGAGAGAAGAAAGTTTAAAATTTGTTGAAGGAGTGCCAGTGTGGAACAAAGAACCGTAAAGTGACGGACCAAGTCACGTTTGTCTTGCGATTTCTTGCGGGCTACCCACTACCACCAGATTTACTGGTTCTTCTTGACAACCGTTTGTTCTTTTCTTTCTTTTCAAACTATAACTACTTCAGCCAGAGAAAAGTTTGGTTATTTAATTTCTCCCCTTTTCTGACTTTAACCGTCCTCTATTCAAGATACTGTTTGATCAAGTTGATTAAAATAAATGATTTTCTTCCGAGATTAAATATATTTGCAATAAAATGATTTGTTTTTTTTTATTTATTGACATTGATTTTATTATTCTGGAAGAGAAAAAATAAATCAAGTTATTAGGAGGAACAAATTTTACAATTAAATTTCATGTTTGTACGGTTGTGTCAATTTTTCATGTGGAATTAAAATAAATATGTATCGAATATGAACATTTCTATTTCGACAGTTGAGAGGTCGATTAAGAGGGTGTGTAAGCTTGGCAGTTCATTTAAATCCGTTGACAAGGACCTTTCCTGCAGGTATATGTATGTGTGTACAAGAGATGGAAGTATGCATAAGAGACGGCATATAATTCAGTTTTACTCTGAAACGACTCATTTATATGCGTTCGTTTGATTGAATCTCTCCCTCTCGTGTGTGTCTGTCTCTTTCTGCAGTTTCCCCTACTCTAAAACTCGACGTGGCCTCTTCCTTTGCGCGGGCCACCACCCTATTCAGTTCAACCCCAACGCGGTTAGCTGTTTCAATTTCCACTCGTTGCACAAAACTGAAAGGAGAGTCCCTGCCGTGTCGTCCCGTGTGACCTCTCTTTTTTTTCTAATTTTATCTATCCCTCCCTCTCGTTTTGATCCCCTTTTTTCTTTCCAATAAATGTGTTTTCCATCCAGATATCTGTCATTTACATACTTTGATGATGATGATGATCTTTGAATTCTCGTTCGCGCTGCGTCACGATTGGAAGAATCATGAAAAGAGAGATCACAACTTACTCAAAAGAACGTCACTTATTATGTCATCAGGACATATAATGCCTAATCGATAATGATATATCTCTTTAGAGACATGGAGTGATAATGCACTTTTTTGAGATCCAAATAAAAAAAAACTATTAATTGCTTATTCAATTTAAATTTAAATTCTAGATGAAAGGGATTTAAATTTTAGTTGGTCACTATATTTAGAAGATATTTTCTAATTGACCCTTGGGTTGCAAATTAATTTTAAATTTAAAATGGTCACGGTCGACTCGTCGCTTGATCCATTTGGAGTGTAATAAATATTTCCAAATTTAAATCTCGTCTGTCTGGCTTATTAAAAGTAGATTGATTATTCAAAAGCGTCTACACTGCGAATTTTTTTTTTAATTATAAACAAACATGAGAATTGGAAAAGACTATTTTGTTGTTAATAATAAAAAAGAAGTCGAATTATAATAAAAAAAAAAGTCAAACAAGAAAATGAAATGGTCGACGTAAAGTTTCTATCGGAGTCAACGGGATTACGAATAGCAACAGCACTATCAAGATTCCGTTACTTAGCGATATGAAGCTACATTCACTTTAAACAATTTTTATTTTCGTTTTAAAATTTTAAAAAGAAATTACTTTTTTTTTAAGATTTAAGCGATCGCGGATTTAAGAATTTCGAACTTTTTTTAATTAATTAAGATACAGCAATCGAATATTTTGACAAAAATTAGGATATTTCTAGAATATTCTAATTTAAAATATCCAATTTTTGGATTCCCGATATCGGGTTGAAAAAGATAGCCCAGTTTTCAACCTAATAACTTTTTATGGATTACCGATCTCGAGTTGAAAAAGTTAGTCCAGTACAATAGAAAATGATAAAATATAAGTTATGTTTAAAATAATTATGTAGCTTTAGATAGCTGTTCTTATGGATTCCTTATTTCGTGTTGAAAAATTTAGCCCAGTATTCAACCTAATAATTTTTTTTGTAGGAATTAAATTTACCTTTTTTTTGGTAAACATTAGGCCTATTAGGGGAAAAAGGAAAAAAAAACGTGTAAAAGAGAGCTGTAATAAGCCAATGTGAACGCTCTATTCATAAACGGAAGCTCGGAGATTTACAGACCAGTGTATAAGGGCGGTGAAGGGTGGGCCAGTATATAGAACCTTATGAGAAGGTGGATATTTTTCGCTTCTGATAAGTCACGCCGCGGTCGTTGGAGGATACATGCCCACGTATAATACCTTGTAAACTTTTCTCATGATATAGTCCTGGGGCTATATAAGGCCGGTAGTGATGGCGCTTAAACATCGGATGCAACATAACCGCACGTCGTAACGATAAAGCACCCCCGTCCCCCCCACCCTTTTCTCCTGTTAGTATAGTATCTATGCGCGCCTGTTTCTTTCAGTAGGAAGTACATTTTTATCATCTACGTAAAATGTACATGTCTAAGAATTTTTCTACTTTCGTGTATTCCCATCATACAAATCAAATCGAATTGAGTGCCGGCACGTGAAAATGGGACTAGAAAAAAAATGGAGGATGGGAAAAATAGTGAGATGTCAGAAATAAAGAGCAAAAAAAAAACAACAGAAATGTTGAATAGAGCAGCAGCAGAGGTTAGAATGAAGATTTCAACAAATGTCGAGATTTTGGTTTTCTTAGATGATGAATGGAAAAGGCTAAGGGAAAACTTTGTAAAAGGATGAAAATAGATTGAGAGAGAGATAGAATGAAAGAAAGAAAAACGAAAGCGTCATTGTAAGGAAACGTTCTCCAAGACGAATACAATTTTTCATGGACCGCGTAAGCCGGAAACCTTCCGGAAACCGGAAGTTGGCTGCTGGAAACTGGAAGACACATACAAAGCGTTTATTGCTCCATGCGGCAAAACTACGAGACTGCAGTACTTTAACTTACTTTCTTTGGGTTTTAAATACCGTGACTTTAGATTTAACTTGAGCCTGATTCTTTTAAAAAAAAAGTTATGCATAATATATATAGTATACACATAAAGTGAGGAACTGTAGGAATAAAAGTTTAATATTTCGAGCATAAACTATGTGGAAGTGAAGAGTGAAAAAAAGAACCACAATTGGCGCACTCTGTCGGGAACATCAGCAAACTACATTGTATTTAATTATTTTTTCTACAGATATCATTTGAAAAATGTGAAATCTGGTTCATTAACTCAATAAGTAAATAGAAAGAAAAGGTCTTTGATATCAAGATAGAAAGAAAGATCAATTGTAGAAAGAAGTTGAGCGTTGAGTGGCACGTTAATGTGATTTCAATCGTCGTGCTATAAAATTAAATAAAAGAAGTTAAGGAGCGATCGGTCAGTGAACAGGAAACGTACTACTCCTTGTGTTGTTGGAAAAAAGTACATCGAGAGTTCTTAAAGAATTTATATATGAGAGACATGGGTATATGGCAAAATGTCATTGGCCGAAGTGGACAAGGAAAAGCGTATGTATTTCGTCAAAGACTACATCGTCCAGAGAGCGGAAGTGAGGTAAAGCTTATTCAGTCGGAAGTTGCAGCGCTGTTTGCCCCACTGGATTTTACTTTAGAGAGAAACTCAATGTTCAGTATAGGTACTCACACATAAGAGAGAGAGAGGAGAGAGACGACGGTATAGTAACCTATCGGTCGGAAGGATGCTTCAGATATATATATATACAACTTTATCTATCAGATACACTCAATGTCGATAGAAACTTTTTTTACTTATCTGTATCGATTCTATGGCTAATTTTATTATATGGCAAATATTTCATGTCATTTTGATAATTTTCCAAAAAAAGTGTGATTTATTATGAATTAATTTATAAATTTATTTTTCAACAATTAGAAGATAAAATGAAATTTGCAAATGTCATGATATCATAATATTATTATCAAATTAATTCATTTTAATATCGATGATAACCATGGGTATATGGATTATAAAGGAGCTGATTCGGAATACTGATCTGCGGCGTGGCGAGGCGTGATTAATTTCAAAATCCGAATGACCCTATTCAGAACGATGCTTTGTTATGTTAATCGAATTTATGATTGTCATAGGGTATATAGCTGAATTCTGACTTCTGTCAAGAGCAGTTTCCATATTTTCTAGATCTACTGTTTCGTACTTTAATTAACATAATAAACAAGAATTTCTGATTTGATCAAAAATGTATTTAAACCTTTCCCTCTGTTTTTTTAAAAAATATTTTCCAAATTCAAGGACTAGAAAATTTTCCCCATTGTAAAATTGAATTCAAGCCAAAAGTCTTTTAGGTAACAGCGCGAGTGCCCTTTTCCAGGCGACAGAACTTTACAGATTTGCGTCATGTTTCTAAAATACGAGAGTCGCTAAGAAGAAAAGATCATCAAAGTCCCGAAACTAATTTCGCGAAGCGAAGAAAAGTGCTCTTTGCAAAAAAAAAAAAAAAAAAAATGTGACATACGACTCTTTTTTACAAGTTTTTCCACTTGTTCCCCATCCGTTTAAAAAGAGACACTATTCTTCTATATATATATATGAATTTCAGTAATTTTCTTTCGCGGATTTTTGTACAGGATGTAGCATTGTGTGTACAAGTTTACCGCGTTGAATTTCACAAAAGTGAAAGACAGAACGAAAGGGTAAATAATATCCACGTCCTCGAGGTTTTCGAGTTTACGATGAAACTTTCATACTTTCGAGCAAAGAGTTTTACTTACCTTCATGTAGCTTTTCCAGTGTACCAGCCGCTGATGCTCCAACCGTAAAAACAAACAGCCAAAATAGAATGAAGGTCCTCCTAAATGACTGCCAATCTTTCACGTTATCCATTGCACTAACACTCGCGAACTGTAAACAAACAAAACAAAATTTTTTAAAAATTTTTTTGAAAAATACATATTTTACAGATAAATTGAATTTTCATATTTAGTGTAGTTTACGAATTCTCCCTTTTAATCCAATTACCCATAAACATTATTATTTATATAAGGGGAAAAAAAAGTTTTAAATCACTTTCCAAAACTTTTTTTTTCTTTTTTTTTGCTCAATATTGAAAGTGTTCTTGGAAAAATATTTGTCTGAAATAGAAAGTTACTCCCATAACAATCGAGATTTGTCAGAATTTCTGATACTAAAGAAAAGTGGGATTCCAAGAGTTGCCTTGGAAGTTTTAAGATAAGGTTTCAGAAAACACATGTCATTTGTTTGGTCAGCCTTATCGCGGTCAGACAAAACTTTCGGGTCAATAAGTCAAAGTTGGACAATTTTTCACAATTAGAATTGACATTCTTCTAAATAAAAGAAGAATGTGAATTTTTGCTAATAAAAATATATTTTGAATAAAAAAAAAAAAAATTTCTAATACAAATTAAAGAAGTTTAAAAATAGTGAATTTTATAATACAAACATGTAAAATGAAGTCAGTGTTGCACAGAGTTGTGGAATCCTTAATGATGTAACTTTAGCAGACTCGCTAGCTTAAATAGTTTGCGAAATACACAACAGTGATCTAGGTGAATTCTCAGACTCAATGAAACTACCAAAATGACGTGTAATACGAAATTTGAATATTTTTGTTAATTAGAATTAAACTTTTAAAATAAATTTGTCACGAAAATTATAATTAAATTCATTATAACAATTAAAGAAATTGAAATATCGATTATTGATTTTTTTGAACAAAAAATAAAATTTTCACCATAATGAAAAAGGAGACGAAATTCAGTGGTAGTTTTGAAACAATAATTACTATCAAGAAGCAGCACTTAAGAACTTGGCGTCACTAAGACCGAAACGCAGGGTAAATAATTCCGTGAAAAGTTGTCCATCTCTTAAGCCAGGTAGCAGAGAATCGTAAAGTGTGTCTCTTCTACTTCATAACTAAGGGAAAAGTAGAGACTGAAGATGATGAAATAATTTAACGCCTAGAAAGTTTATTTCACCTAAAATGTTGGCTCTCTTTGAAACTTGCTAAAGTTGTTTAAGAGCTCATTAAAAAAATAATTTCATCTTAGCTAAGACGATGTTTTACTTAAATATGATTACAATCAATTTTCCATGAATTCTATATATATATATTTAAAAAACCCTTCCCAGTGAATATTTTAAAGACGTTAATTGCATTTCTATTGTTTTATGCATCATCAAAAAAGCATTCTCTTTTAATTTTCGTTTAGGTAAATTATTAATTTTTAAAGGATTTAATTTATTTTTATGTAAAATTTTGTTTTTTTGATAGTTTTTGGTATTTGAAAAAGTCATATTACTTGGCAAGTACAGTACCATTTCCAATACCGCTTCGAAGTCAATTTCGATTGTTTGACTAAGTGCTTGGAGTAAGAGTAGGGTTTCTTGAATTTGATTTCTCATCTAGTATCAGTCTTCCTTACTTTCTTGTTATATTTGTAGGTCTCGATTGAGAGTGGATTTAAGAAATCTATTTTGAACACTATCAAAAATAGCAGATTTTGTAAACGTAATTCCAATAAGATTTACAATCAAATTAGAATTGAAATACAGTTCCAAATTGATGCAAAAAACAAGGAAATTTAATAATATAGATTCCAATTATACTCAAAGAACCCAATTTGTGTTGTACTTTTTTGGGGGTGAAACATAACAATTCGCAAAAATCAGTTGTGGCAGCCATTAGTAAGAAACAAGTCTGAATGGGATTTTCTCCGAAAAGGGAAAGGCGTCATTCTGGAAGTAAGCGGATTCGTCGACTTCATGAATTGCATTATTTTGGAGATGGACAGGATGATTAGTGGAAGAGAGAGGATGAAGAGAAGCGATAGAAGAGAATATCGTGTGAGTAGAGACATTACGCTAGGGTGGCTTGATTAACGAAACTCGGTGGGTCGCGTAGAAGGAGGACAAGAACGAAGGACCCATGATACCCGGCTAGAAGCTTGAACTGCTAATTCAACCTCCACTCCAAGTCGGCTTAACTTGACGATCACTGATCTTAGAGGCTTCCCATTCGTCCTTCGAGCCTTGCCATCGCCATTGCACTCTTGCTAACTTGGTTTAACCGAGCTCTCGTTAATTCGTTTACCGCTAATGCCCGTTGCAATGTGGCTAAGTGGCTATTGCTGCCTCAAGCGATTCGCCCAGCTTGACTCATTTACCAATTACTTCGCCACTGCTATCTGCCTCTCTCACTCAAGAGCAGACAGAATTCCGTCAACCGAAAATACACTCTCCTTCCAAGTAACGACATTATCGATCGGTTAGAATTCAATTTACTTTTACAAGTTTCCTTTTTTGTTTTCCTTATACAAAGATTTTTTTAATCTCTCTCTCTCTCTATAAAAGTCCTAATAATTCAATGAAAACAAAAATTTATTAATCCATTAAAGAAATTCAATGGGACGGGGAAAAAAATGTGGAAACTTTTTTTTTTTTTAGATGTAATTGAAAGTATCACACGAGAGATAAAAGAAACGAGGGTGTCTCATTTCTGTAATTCCTTGAAGATTTTTTATCCTTACGTATCAAACTGAAGAAGAGAAGCCTCTTGGATTTCAATTTTGCCTCGAAGAACGCCCTTGACTCGTGGGAGTATAGAAATGCGGGACAAGAGGAACCCTCGAGTGCACTCCATACTGAAGGACGCTCAGGATCAATATTTATAATCTCGATTCTAGACGACCAAGGGTCCACGAAAGTCCGCTTCTGTGAGCCAACCAAACGAGACATCGTTCCTGCTTCAGGATTTAACCCTCGTACTTCGAGGCTCGTCTTTATCGAAAATGACAAATCCTAACAAACGTTCACCCTCTGCTCTCTCTCTCTCTTTCTCTTAGTACCAACAAATCTTTGTTCTCGATTTTTTTCTTCTCTGAGCTTTCTAACTATGGATCAGAAAACATTGATCTAAATTTTATAAGTTAAAGAGATTGGTGATACATTATTCTTGATCTCCTTAGATATATATGGAATTGAACAGCTTCCCTCTTAAAACATTGAAAATCAATTGATAAAAATATATCAATGATGGTTACTGATGGAACAAAAATTTCTTGAGAAATTGACAGAAACGTCGATTTCAAGGTCAAGTCAAGGATATTCAAGGTTAAGTAAAGATCATTTAGAGGTCAACGTCGATTTCAAGGTCAAGTCAAGGACATTCAAGGTTAAGTGATGGTTATTTAGGGGTCAACGTCGGTTCCAAGGTCAAGTCAAGGTCAAGGACATTCAAGGTTAAATGAAGGTTATTTAGTGGTCAACGTCGGTTCCAAGGTCAAGTCAAGGTCAAGGTCATTCAAGGTTAAGTGAAGGTTATTTAGTGGTCAACGTCGGTTCCAAGGTTAAGTCAAGGACATTCAAGGTTACTTTAAGGTTACGTAAAGGTCATTTGAAGGTCAAGTCAAGGACATTTTAAGGTTAAGTATAGGTCATTTAAAGGTCAAATCAAGGTCATTCAAGGTTATTTACAGGTCAAGACAAGGACATTTAAAGTTACATAAAGGTCATTTGAAGGCCAAGTCAAGGACATTTTAAGGTTTCTTCAGCTTTATCAAATCAAGGATATTTAAAGTAAAGTCAAAGACATTTCAAGGGCAAATCAAGGTCATTTGAAAGTCCTTCAAGGTCATTTAAAGGTTATTCAAGGTAATTCAAGGTCAAGACAAGGACATTTGAAGGTTAAGTAAAGGTCATTTGAAGGTCAAGTCAAGGACATTCCATTTGAATGTCATTCAAGGTCATTTAAAGGTCAAGGCAAGGACATTTCAAGGTTAAGTAAAGGTCATTTGAAAGTCAAGTCAAGGATATTTTAAGGTTACTTTAACTTCATCAAATCAAGGACATTCAAGGTCATTTGAAGGTCAAGTCAAGGACATTTGTAGGTCATTCATTTACATTTATCTGTGGTATCATATAGGTATATCATACATGTACTTTTTTTTGTATATATTTATTAATATTATTGTTATATTTTTTTTTGTTTTCTAATTTTTTTTTTTTCAACAAAGAAAAAATTATTTCTGCAAATTTCTAAAGTTCTGATTCCCGTGAGAAATGTTGTTGCAACAAACACAATACTGCGGTTACGAAAGTCTACACCACAATATATGTAATAGGTTGTCCTTTGTAGAAGTTTATCAAGTTTTGCCTAAGATGAAACTGCCTTGTCTCATTTGAGACGCAAGGTAGACTGACATTTCGCGGTTTATAACCCACACACATATACATACACGTATATATATATATATATATATATATATATATATGCGTACGCGTCGTCTAGCGTAATGATGACGAGAAGACAAGAGAAATACGGAAAATAAAGGGTAAGGTGGTCAACTCTTTGAAGTCCCTAAAAGCAGCTTGCGTCTACCATTTGTACCATATATGAATGATGTAAAGGAAAAAAAAACTGTCTGGCAAAAACAGGAGCTCGTATAACGCTTTTCTGAATTTGCATCAAAAGGATGTATATGAAAGTAATTTTTTTGGTTTTATTTTCCGTCTATTTAAATTTTTTTCTTTTTTTTTTACTTTTGCAATTTTAATTAAATTTGCGAAAATTATTATTAAATATTTCAATAGAAAATGCATTTGTTAGCTGTAAAGTAGTTGTGGAAAAAAAAAAGTAATAAAGTATGAATTTATTATTTTATTTTTTTTTTTAAAGGATATATTTTTATTTGGCCCTTGATTCTTGCGTCAAGTAGAATCTTATACAGTTGAACACGTACGAGGGTTGACTGGAGAGCGCGCGGTAGTCATTGAGGCGCGTTTTCAGTTCTACGCTGGCGACAAAGTCACGATAATCGAGAGTGCCGTGCTTTCAGTGATAATGGGCAAGTGCACGCGCTGGAAGCCTGAGAGTGTACTCTCTG